ACAGTGACAAAGAAATTCCCCAAAAAACTGGGTAACCTGAGTTGGGTTGCACTGCTGCACCACTGTGGCTCAGTTCCACATAGGTGCCTGTGCTGCTGCTTCTACTGCTTCACTGCTGTGGAAGTTGTTCCCACAGGTCACAGCCACTTTCCCATTGTTCTGCTGCCTTCTTTTGACTTGTTCAGGCTTGGCTTGATGGGCTTGGCTGGGCTGGCATTGCCCTTGCCAGTCCTTTCTCAATGGAAGCCTCCATGCCAGAGCTGTTGGGTCAGCACCTACTGTTGATTTGCATTTTTAATGGTATCATTTCAGTACCACATCCCATAGCCGCATCCCAGAGAGAAAGGGAAGGCGACTGGCAAGTCAACAGAGCAGAGAGAGAGAGATTGAGAAAGAGAGAGAGAGAGAGAGAGGAGCACACACATTTTCATCCTGAAATCACACCTCCCAGTGATGGTTTGAGTGATATAGAATAACAACTGAGGCAACCACACCTCACCAAGCTCCTCTCTCCTCTCTGCAACCAGGACGCTCAACAATTACTCTGTGCCTTTAGAAGTTTTCTAGTGTCATGAAAAATAAATGTGATTTCTTTGACTAAGCAATCTGAATTACAAATGATATTCCAGTAGCAGAAAATAAGTGTCATAGTGATGGAAAAGACAAGGTCAATTAGTTATGTTCACATGTTACATGGATGGAGATATTATAATCTAAAATAACTGATGAGGCTAGCAGAATTCTTCCCCAGGCACACAACAATGAAATTTGAAATTTTGCTTTGAAATTTTGCTTCAAAATATTGTATGAATCAGACATCTATATGTTTTCAATGCCATAATATTTTGTTGATTGTAGGAAAAACATGGCTATAGAAATAGCACATGCCTTTTTGATTTTACAGGAAGTTAACATTTTCACATTAGATAAAAGTTAAACAAAATACGGTTTTTTGGTTCCTCTCCAGGTGAAACTTAGTCTTGAAAAGAGTGAAAATGGAAGTTATATGTCTTTGATATTTTGAGATTATGAGTACACCTAGTATCAATGGGCATAGGTGAGACTATAGAATGTGCAACATCTTTAAGCAAATTTCAAAATGTACTTTAATAAATGGTGTTTTTCACATTACCTCACCATCTATCTCAGCAGGAAAGATAATTTTTATCCAAAATTTTCTAGAGGAAACAGACTTCCATTTACATTCTATTGCACCTTTTTTCCTTTCCATACACTGCAGATGAAAACAAATAATTTAAATTAACAAACTGAAAATAAAAAAGGCCTTTTAAGAATGCTGCCTGCAGGTCTTTAAAATTGTGAAAGCACTTTACATTATAAGGTTGCTCTAGTTTCTGAACATGGATCCCAGTTTGAAAGATTGAAAATCTCCCTGAAGTCTGAAGCACTTAAATAATTTAGATTAAATTTAAAATGTCCTACACTTTATAAGCCCAGAACCATAGTCACATCTTTACTGGAAAGCTTATAAAAATTTGAAATGCTCCAATAATTTTAAATCTTGTAGAAGCCTAGTACCTTCCAAATTAAAGTGCTAATAAAAGAAAATAGCACTGAAATTTAAATCTCTATATGCAGTGTAAAATGATTTAAAATTATTGAAGCCTTTCAATTTTTTATGAGCTCTCTATGTAGAAGTGAATCAAACAGCATTTTTAGTACAATGGAAATAAGTTACTAAATAAACATAGAAAAACTGTCATCAACATAGCAGTGTAGTATGAGAACTTTTTCAGGGTGCCAAAGAAGCTTTGAAAGAACAACTCCATACTGAAAATTGAAGCAGATACAGCCTTCTGCTTAAAACCATTTCATTTGACTCAGGAGATACTTTAGGTTCTGATTTTGTGCAAGCGATTTAATGTCTTTTAAATTTCTATTTCCCCCTTTCTTATTTAGATAGCAAATTCATCGAGGCAAGAACTTTCCTTTTTTTTGTAACTGATATTCAACTGATTAAGTGTGGATATCTTCCATGTCAACATCCTTATCCAACCTAGTTATCCCAGTACTGCTTCATAGTCAGTGGAGAGAAATATATTATTTTCAAAGATCGTTCAGACAATTGTAAACCCTTCAATAAGAAATAGATCACATCCTGAAGAAGCCTATTAGTTTCCATTGGAACTAAGAGATGCCTAAAGTCACTAGTTTAGCTATTGATTTCAGTATCTAAAGTTGTGGGAAATGCAGCCAACTAGTAATCATCTTGTCTGATTATTAAGAATTCCAGGTTTTCCTGCAACACCTATTATTAATAGCTATAAAAATTTCAAATCGATAACCTTAAGTCTTCTGAATCTACAAGTGTTCAGCAGTGAAATCTTTAGAAACAATGAATATGCAAAGACCTCTCAGTAATATATTCATAGATACATTCCTGAAGTAAAAAGAAGAAAGAAAATACATGGGTCATCTGTATTTAATTAAGATGGTTTTTTACTTTCCATAATATTCACAGTAGAAAGAATTGAAGAAAGAAACATATCAGGTATTTCACACACTTTACCTATAAGGCTGAATAATTTTCTTGTAGAAATAATTATAGGAAAACTTGGAGAAAATCCAATGACTTACACTGACCTGATTCAATCTGAGTTAAGTGTATAGACAGAGATTACTTTACTGGATGACAAAATCCTTCTGACAGCTGAGGAAGACTTAGAGGTAGAGAACTATGGGTTTTCACAAAGCCAGAGTTCACCACACATGGCAGGTATGAAACATGTCCTCCAACTAAATATAAAAATTCATGGCAGGAGGTGGCTAACAGTGAAGAATCCCAGGAAATTCATGTTTCAAGTTGAGCGTTACCTACTGCCTGTTGAAGAAATTCAGTAAGGTTGGTAAGTCTTTAAATCTTGGAGTGGCAGGTTATGGTGAGGTGCAGTGCACTGCATGGCCATGAGTGCTGATCTTCTGAGACCCAGCCATTTCTTCTCAGCTGCCAGACCCTGGGCCAGCAGTCCCTTGCACTGACGGGCTATAACACAGCCAGGCACAGGGACCTCCTTAGAGAGATGGCCAGGCATTGCTATGGGGGCAACTCCACAACACGCCAAGGGGGTGAAAGTGTGAGGGTGGCACATTGTTAAGACAGGCTGCCCAGGGAGTTTGTGGGATCTTCCTCTCAGAGATGTTTAAAACCCACCAGTGACATTCCTGTGTCCCCTGTTCTAAGTGACCCTGCCTTGGTAAGGGGGTTGAACTGGAGGATCTGCAGTGGTCTCTTCTAACCCTAAGTCTTCTTGTTAGAGTCAGCTGTTCTCTCTGCTGCTCTACCCTGCTGGGAGCAGTGCCAGAAAGGGTTTGCATAAGCAGTTGATTTAATCTGAAATGCTTTAGTCAGGGCTTTATGGCAGCCCAGAAACACTTGGGTTAAGAGGAGCCTCTTTTACTCTATTGAACAAAACAAAGCCAGAGACACACAACACAGAGATACAAAGCAGCTGGTGTGCACCACATTGACAACTGTATGTCGCAAAGAGTGGTTTAGGTCACATGAGGAATTGTGAGAAAAAGGTGTCAGCAAAAGCAGAGTTAATATAAAAGTTTGTGCAACAAACTTCATTGGCAAGGTTTGCTCCAATACTGCCTAGATGCTAATAGCACATAGAGAAAAAGGAAACAAATATCCGACATCAATTGAGACAAAATCAAACTCAACCTAAAAGCTATCTGTGCAGAGACTGAGGGAGAGGGGAAGGGCAAGAATAGGAAAATGTAAGTATTCAAAGGCTTAAGAGAGACCCTTCCACGAAGTGACAAGATTCAAAGTGGTTTCCCTTGCCAAACTTTGCCTCAGACTCAACTGCTGAGGCTGCAAAATGTACCTACATGGGAATGGAATGGAATACTATTCTATGCAATCCCAGGATCCGATCCAGCCCAGCCCAGCCCAGCTCAGGGCTCTCCCAGGGACTGGCTGGGTCTGCCAAGTGCAGGGGATTCTGGGATGGTCAGGGCCAGCACAGGTGTGTCCCAAAGGGAAACTACACTTGGGAAACGGCCACTGAGGCCCTTCCTGGAGGGTGAGGCTATTTCAAGGGGTGATAACGTGCCCTGGCCTTGGGGGAACTGTGGCCGGGTTCTGCAGAGAAAAGGGCTCAGGTGAGGCCTCTTGGGCTCCCTTGGGAGAGGTGGGATATGAGCCCAGTGAGCTTCAGGGAGAACTGCCGTCCCTGGGGTCCAAGCTGCTGCAGTCCTGCAGAGACCAAATACAGAGAGGTAGAGGGACATGAGGGTTGGTGCCATGGTACAAATCACAGAATTGTCTAGAGTTGGAAGGGACCTGGAAGGATCATCAAGTCTGACTCTTTCAGGAAGAAGTCTGTAGAGGGATAGAAGCTGCATGGTGCCAAGGGCCCTGGCCTTCCAACAGGGTGAGCATGGTGATGCCTTGAGAAGGCTGGCTTAGAACAGAGGCTAGACAGAGTTAAGAATAAAGTAGGTATTTATTGAAGGGCCTTAAAGGACACACCTTGGGCAGTACAAGAGCCTGACCAGGGCTACACCCCAGATGGACCCAAAATGGTCACAAAATGGACGACTTGTCACGAGGTCTCACATTTTTATAAGTTTTGGTCCATCTGCATATCAGGGTTAATTGTCCAATCAGTGCTTCAGGTTATGAAGTCCCATCCTTGTTTTTTTTTCTTCAGTCTACCTATTTTTATGGGCCTGAAACTTGTAACGATTGTCCTTGGCGTCAAGATAGAAAAGGAATTGCTTTTTCTACCTACTCTGTGAGCAGAGCTCACTAACACTTAATATGAAGCTTAAAACTACACACACCTAGGCAGTACAAAGTATGAAAAATATAAAAGCTGAAACTTAAAGCATCAATGGGCACAGCTGGACAGTCTTGGAAGGCAGGTGTGGCCATGTAGGAATGGTCCTAGGGCCTGGAGTAAGTGGCTGGTGAAGCCGAGAGTGGCCAGTGTCACCCACAGCTGCAGCTGAACCTGCCAGTGTCTGGAAAGTTCCAGAAGGCTCTCTGCGGGTTTGGCAGTTGACACATCAGTTGCTGCTGGCAGTCAAAGGCTGTGCTTGCAGCCTGGTACCTCTGCACTGCTTCTTAAGGTAATGAAACCTCACCCCTTTGTTCTGCTCCCCCAGCCCACACTAGCCATACTGGGAGGCTGAGATTTGACCCTAAAGCAGGGACCTGAGGAGAAATTTTGGCTGTACGTGGCCCAGTGAGTCCCGCTGAGCGTTAGAAGCTGCCAGGGACATGGGGGATGTTACACAGCAGGGCCTGCTGCCAGCAGGAAACTCACTGAGAGAGCCTTGCTGGCTCAGGAGAGCCCCGTGCCTCCCACTGTTGGAGGCTGGGGGTTATTCAGGGAGATGCTACCATGTGCATTCTCAAATTGTTGTCGGGCCTTGCTTACCCACCCCACAGGTCCCTGAGTCCCAGGAGGCTGGGGGTGCATGGGACATTGGGAGGGGGTTGTCCCCAGATAACTAAAGGAACATTCCATTACATACGGCATTATGCTCAGCACATAAAGCTGGGCAAAGAATGATGAAGGGGATGTTCCATTTTTAATTCCCAAGTCACAGTTACACTTATTTGAGACATACGTTTCTGGAGATGATTGAATAGCTATTTGTCCATGGAAAGTGGTGAGCAAATTCCTTGTTGCTTTGCTTGTGCACGTAACTTTTGCTTTAGCTGCCAAACTGTCTCAAGTCATGAGTTTTCTAAGTTTTTGTTCTCCCAGTTCTCTCCTCTGCTCCACTGGTGGAAGGGTTAGTGGTGAATGGCTGTGTGGAGCTTAGTTGCCAGCTTAGTTTTAAACATGAAAAGTTACCACAGAAATATGGAACATAAAAGGACCCATTGTAGGTAAACTGTTTAGTATTCTACTTTCAATTTATTACACAAAAAATTCCAGGAAAAATAAATTCATAATTGGAAAGTTAAGATGACACTTTCATATGGCAGAGGAAAAATACTATTTTGTGTCATTTGGCATTGGGGATTACAGGGCTATGGATTGGGCAAGATCATATGTTTAGCAAATTTAATAACTCAAATCAGAAGAACATTAGGGAATAAATTAGCACAGCAAGAGTATTACACACTATTACAAAGAAAAATGTGCAACCAATCACCTTCATAAGCATTTCCTCTTCAGCAAGTAGGACCCTTCAAGAAAGGAACCTTTTCTTTTCTGTCTTATCAGACATTTTCTGGTGGTCACAACTTATTAGATGAATAATATAGTGCATAAATATGGTCAAGGAGAGCTCATATGTTAAATGCAACTTTGTCTTGGCATAGATAAAGAAGGTCATTGAAAAGTGGAGTTTCTGGCCTTTTCTCCAAATATCTTTTATAAACTTAAATGTAAGACAATATGATATTATATATATCAAACATTTTTTGAGTAGGAATAAAAACTGTTCCTTCACAGCTGAAAGTCCTTAACATATCAATCTAGAGAAACATTTTCAGCGTGAGACTGCATCTCTCATTCTTTGGACTAAATAACCTTTTTAATGATGCTTTAACAAGGGAGGCTACTTCAGCAAGAGGGGCTGACACACCATGACTTGAGAATAAATTTTACTTTCAGTCTTAAGAATTTTCCTTTGAAATATGAGATTTGGAATAAGACCCAGTAGACCAAAATTAAGTGAGACTGATAAAATCAGACTTAGTAAAATGACTGTCTGCATAATATAAGTGTTTATGCTCAAGAAGACAACAAAGTCCTTTGAAGACCATTACAAGGAAATTCTGCCAGCTTAAATTTAACTAAAGGGCAGAAAATTGCCATCTGGATACCTCCGTTTTCTCCTGCATTGCAGAGCAGTGATTTAACTCTGACTTAATTTTTTTTTTTTTTGTCAGTTTGCTTTGCATGTAAAAGGATTAGTAGCATTACATTTTGCAAGCAACTTGGTCCACATATAATGTGTTTATGCTCAATGCAGGTACTTGATGCAGTGTAAAGCAGCAAATTGGACAAGTTAAGGCAATCTTACAGAGCACAGCACACATTCTAAGCAAGAAGTCATGCTGCAGGTAGTCACAGAAGTGGAAAACTAGAATATAGGGGAATTTTATTTAAAAAAAAAAAAAAAAAAAAGATGTCTGGATCATTCAGATTCTATAAAATTTGTTACAAATAACCAACTATTTTTAGGATCCAAAGTCTAGATTTCAGATCTCTAAGTCACACCTGAAATTTTCCACAAAGTTCTTCAAGCCTGTAGTTGATGTAGATATAAAGGTGAAAGTGAGAAAACATTTCAAAACAATGAAAACTAGATAATTTTTACCTGCAGGTCTATTACCACACAAGGCAAGATTTGGAATTTCAAAATTTTCACATCTCTCATCAGTTTATTTTAAAAAAGAAATTTCAAAATTTTGTACTTGACTGGTCATCATTCTCTCTGAGAACAAGTGCTTGTTAAATGTGACTAGCTTTGCTTGTTTCTCTCAGTGATCAAAGACATTTGTTCTTTGAGTCAAACCACTCTGATTCAGGAGTTCTGTCACTCTTTATTCTGGTTCTGGCTGTAATACATTTAATTTTCATCACAGAAGCCCCTATGATACTGTATTTTGTATTTGTAATGGGCATGGTGTTGCTAGCATACCAATATTTCAGCTTTTGCTGAGCAGTGCTTACATAGCATTAAGGCCAGGACAGCTGACCCCAAATGTTCAACAGGATATTCCATACCATATGGCATCGTGCTCAGCATATAAAGCTGGGGGAAGAACAAAAAGGAAGAGGAGGGATGTTTGGAGCGACGGCATTCATCTTCTCAAGTCACCTTTATGCCTGATGGAGCCCTACTTGTCTGAACACTTGCCTGCCAATGGGACATGGCAAATGAATTTCTTGTTTGGTTTTGCTTGTGTGCAGGACTTTTGCTGTAGCTTTTAAGCTGTTTTTATCTCAGCCCATGGTTTTTCTCACTTTTACCTTACTGATTTTCTCCCCATCCCACTGTGGAGGAGTGAGCAAGAGGCTCTGTGGGACCATGCTGCTTCCTGGGGTTAAACCAGAGAATTGCCCTTTTTCAGTTTTTACCAGGTAAGACTGGCTGGACCATCATCGTTCCCTATCTGCTTTTATTAAAGTTCTAGGGAATTAAAGTGGATTAATCAAGTATAGTCATATGCCTATCACTTCCTACTATCAGCCCCCAAAGCAACCTGAAATGCAGTGTTTATAACGTGGTGCATTCCACATTTTTCAGTACAAAATGAACACCAGGGACACTGTATTTCTTTAAAATGTTCAGATTAACCCCTTTTTCTTTCCAGAGTGTAATATTGACACAGATTTATAAACAAGATGTGCATTGCTCATAATTTCTCTAAATATTTTTCTCTTAAGCAAATGCACTTGGAGTCTTTAAGGAAAATACCTATGAGTAGTATGGGATGAGAAGCAATATACAACTATTTTTTGGGAAATAAATATATTCAGTTAGCTCTACTATTATTTATGGCAGTCCTACTTTTCATTCTCCACAACCATTCAGACATTTAATCAGAAATTTAATAAAAGAACTCTTTTAAATCTCATGCTCCTAGAATGTGTCAGAGCAATGCAATGCCCATAATGCCCACATGCTGATCAGTTCTTCTTTTTCTGAAGTGTCCATATTAAATAAAACTATTTGGCACATTTCAAAACACATTTTCAAACGTTCGTAGATATCCTGTGGCACCAAGGAAAATATCATACTGCACTTGCTGAGCTGCTAAGTTGCCATTGAATCTCATTTTATTATTCCAACAGCCAGTGATTTAAAAAGCCACAAACTTTAAAACTACTAGAAGTACAATTGAAAGGCATAATTATGTTTGATTTTGTATGTATGTGTAGACACTGTCAAGGATATATTTCTCAATAATTCAATCTGACTTATACAGACATAAGCAAGGACAGATTTTCTTTTGTGGTGTTGTTGTTGTTAAAATTACTTCAGCTTCATTAACAACTCATAAGATGCTAGTGGAAAAATTAAAGGAAAATTATGTTATTTCATTTTTAATTTATTTTCTGAATATTTAATTTTTTCTGTTTCTAAAGGTAAAAAATATCAAAACTACAACATCTAAAACAAGATATTTCAGTCAACGTTTGCTAAAACCATATGGAAATCTAAAATCCTGACTTCTTTTCCTTCTTTTTTGACATGAAAAAGGATTTTTTCAAATATGGCATTATAGGTAATGCAAATGAGAGTAAAGAAATGCTTCATTCCAGCTCTCTTAACACTTTAAAACAAGTTCAAGCTTTCAGAATCCATACTGTAGTAATTTTACATATACATATGTCATAGAATATTCTGAGTTGGAAGCAACTCACAAGTATCATTGAGTCCTTCTCATGGTCCTACACAGGACAGCCCCAGAAATCCCACCTTGTGCCTGACAGCATTGTCCAACTGCTTCTTGAACTCTGTCAGGCTTGGTGCTGTGACCACTTCCATGCAGAGCCTGTTCCAGTGTCTAACCATCCTGTGAAGAGCTTTTTCCCTAATATCTGACCTAAATATCTCCTGACACAATTTCATGGGGTTCCCTAGGATCCTGTCACTAGTCACTCGAGAGAAGAGATCAGTGTCTACCCCTCCTCCTCACAAGGAATTTGAAGACTGCAATGATGTCTCCCCTCAGTCTCTTCCAGACCAAGGGCCTGCAGCTGCTCCTCATATGGCTTCGCCTCAAAGCACTTCACTGTCTTTGTTACCCTCCTTTGAACACTTTCTTGCAGATCACTGTCTTTCTTATATTGAGGTGCCCAAAACTGCAGACAGGACTTGAGGTGAGATCACACCAGTGCAGAGCAATGTGGGACAATCCCCTCCCTCAACACACACCCACACCCCCAAGCATATGCACACATATTAATAGAAAAAAATAAGCAGAATCAGGCCCTTCTACCATATTTAAGTCAGTGGTTTTGCCCTGGTGTATTTCTAGCTTAAATTTCCATCAAATCTTTGTAATCACTCTAGATGTATGGTAGTAAAGGATCAGACCTCACTTTTTTCACTCAAATCTTGACTTCATTTTATATGAAACTGACATTTGCTTTAATACTCATATCCTTGTCTTTGTACAAAATAAAGATATTTCAAAAGCTCAACATAACTGCAGTTTCTGCAGAAATCTGGATATATGCCAGTGTTAAGTGGTATTGAATCAGCAAAAATGTCTGAAGAATTGTGAACAAATTTGTCAAGAGATAACAGTCATAATCTTAGCTTAAATTTAGGGTCACAGCTGCTCTGTATTACCAGCAGCATAGAAGGTGAAAGGAAGCCAAGGCACATATGTCCACTTGTCAAGCAATAAGTACTTGAAGCCAGAATGATGTCTCACTTGTGTATGTGTTTTATATGTATGCACTTTTATGAATGTAAAGAGATATTTTCTAATTTTACCTTATCCCTTCCTTGTATTTTTGTTAGATATCAGTCTTCATAACTCTACTCTGGAAAGAAACTATTACAGGAGTAATAGCTTGCTGGCAATAGATTTGTGATGCTCCTAGCTGGTGTTAATTATTTTTATGAATATGGAAACATAAAGCTGTGAGATGAGGTAGATGAACTCAGTAGATTGAAGAATGGAATAGGATAGTCAATGAAAGTCTGTACTGGCAAAGATCCCTGGTCATCCATCTGCATAATTAAAAAAATCTCACCTATTTAATTGTAATCGTCCCAGTACTCCATCATTATCTAGAGATGCTCTTCTAGGCATACTGAGAGTCATACATGTCTTGGACAGTGCTGAACAAGGGGGCTCCTAGCTCAACATTAAGTCCTATTAAGAACAACAACTCAGATGGTCCTACAAATTTCTTCTTTTCAGTGGATCCACCAATCATTCTTAGAACATATTGGTTGTAGAGCATGGTCAGTATTTTCCACTGACTTGACTGCAGGAACCATATTAAAGTCTACTTTCTGCTTGAACAAAACAGAGTATTTTACTGTTTTGCATTCCATGTTATCATGGAAACTTGAAGTAATGAAATTCATATCCACTACTCTAAAATATTCCTAGTTAGTGAAAAGTTATGTTTACTTTTGTTGGCTATTCATCTCATCATAAGATAAATGTCAAAAATTTTGCTTTGCAAATGTATATTTTTTTCCACCTTGTAAAAAGTCCAGAAAAGAAGTTTTAGTGATGATAGTGGTGTGATTCCAGTTGTTTGAGTATGAGAATTCTTCACCTTCTTCTACCAGAACACTGGTTTCATAGAGAAGGGAAGAAAAGTGAACTCTGACTATGTAGCCTAGTGATCACATCAGTCTGGGACCTGAGAGTCCTATTTGATTTATTTTTTTCTTTTTTTCAGGGATTAAGATAAAAATAACCCTTGAAGGAAAGACCTGAAGGCATGTCACTCTTCCTCTTGGCTATATTGTATTAGAGACACCATGCATTTTAAGGTGTCATTTCTGTATCTTTGTTATGAGACAATCTTGGATTTTGAAAGTGTCCATATTCTTCCATAAAAGTCTATGGCTGACCATCATTGTATAAATAAAAGTTATTTCTTTAGTGCCTAAGTGCCTAAGTGAGGAGTAAATCATCTTCATTCTCCTGAAATACTTCAGCAGTTCAACAGTTCCTAAATTTTTCTGAAACCTGTTCTTCAATTATTAAAAATAAATGCCCTAACTGATTGCTAAGGCTGTTTCTTGTAGTAAAGAAATTAATTGATTAAATATATAGAATTGCATTTCTTATGCAGTATTACACAAACCTCTTCCTATTTTCCTGATACTACAATTGATTTCTTTACTATTATAGATGAAGAATCTATTAATGATACAAGTGCAGAGAAACAGATCAAAGTTCACATTTGGTTGTGATGGCTTTTTCTTATGGATCTCTGTATGCCTAATTGAAGACTATGAGCAACCAGGTATTTTTGAGTAAACATTGCATATGAGTATGAAAAAGCTCTTTTTTTTTTTCTTTCTACAATGCTGTGGTTTAAAGGCTTGGGTTTGTTTGTTTGGGTTTTTTTACCATAATAATTATTTCCTTATCTAACTATAAAAAAGTAACGATTTGTGATGCAATATTGGCAAAGGTGACTAATTGAACTGTAAATTTGATGTAGTTTTTTGTGTTAGTTTTTCCCTCTCTATTACTCTTTTGGACTAAATTTGATTAATTAGAAACTGAAAAAGGACCCCTAAGTACCAGTAATCATAGTAATTTTGGCAAAATGGAGAAAAAATGAAAAATCCTGACTTGCTCAAGATAGTGGCTGATTTATGTATTCAGTCTATTTGGAGAAGAGAGGTAAAAGGTTAATTTCTTATTACATTTTTAAAGGGACTCCACAGTTTGTAGTTGAACTGAGTGGTCACAGCTACTGAGGATCATTCCAATGAAGATGCCCTAGCTGGAAGTATTTTGTGTCTGTTCATGGTTTGAACACATATGGCATTTCCTGATAACCTTCCACTTCTCCATATTGCAGTGTAAATTGCACCAAGTATCTTGGGCAGAGTTCCAGTTCTAGACATTCATTTGGAACTTCTAGCATTCCTCCTGACCCCATATGAACCATGAAGACTTCATTATTTGTTACTATTCCTTACATAATTGGAACCTGCTTGACTTATGCCATTAGCTATCTCCTTCTGTTAAAAGGGATCTGTGTATGAAGAAGTGAAGTCACATAAAAATAGCTTTTTCCTGTGCTTCTCAGGATTAATGTATATCTTTATATTAAATTTTATCTGCTTGCATTGTTTCAGTTTTCTGATTTCTAATTTCCTTTCTACACACTCCACCCACTCCAGATGCTAAAGCGTTTTGATGTCTTCTATGCTTCTTGCATCAACTACTGATCATGTGCCCAGAGGCTGATGAGACTGACCCTGGAATATTTTCGCAAAGTAAAGAAAGTGTCACATTCCAAAGTGGGGAACAGCTTGGAGATCTTTTAATAATGGATGGTCAGGAATGGAATTAGCCAAATGAGGCAAACGTTGTATCTGAGCCCCGTTTATTGGTAATGAAAAGAAAAAATGAAAAGGAGTT